CATCCGAAATGAATATATCCAGCAGAGTGGTTTATAAAAGGACGAAGTAGGGTTATCAAGTTGCATAATATGAAATTTCTCTAAAAATTATCTATCTTATACAACCTCCCGCGTAGAAAATTGAAAAATAGACCGAATGCCTACATATCTCGGACGGTCTAGGGGTAAACTGGCACGCCTCTAATATAAAATTACGTATAGAATATCTAGCAATAGCTAGCTACTAAACGACTCGTGGTAGCTATACTACATACGAATCATAACTCGCATAGAGTTAATAAGAAGTACTTCCTATGGCTATCATTATAGCTCAGGTATGGAAAAGAGATGGATCTGGAAGGAATGAGAAAATGTCGTGTTGATTTATAAACTCATATGTATAGGTATCTTTCGATATCCGAGTATATCATGAGAGCTACATATGACTACTTATAGGTTAAGTAGCTGGTTAATAGTATTAGTCCCTCTCTCTTACATAAAGCTTAAAGGGGTAGGTAGCGGCTTTAGATATATGGAAGGTATCTACGCATTTGGTAGATTAAGAAGCTACGATTGGTATTTAGTCAGACTGTCAGGTGAGTGGTCAGATGAGAATTGCTCTTACCTTCTTTAACTTGACCTTCCCTTGAATATTTTGCTCGTTTGCTCGCTTGAAGTTATTCACTTTTACTTTTTAGTACTACATGAAGTGTATAGGTACTCTCGCAATACCACAGACATTTTCCCACTTTGTCCGACTTCAACATCCTATCTCGTCTGGCGACTTTGTGAACCGACGAAGCCTCTACACCAAAAAATTAGGCTCGATGTCGCTCTAGGTCCAGGCAACTAGGATCTCTTCTTAACCCCATGCCGAACCCAAATTACTTTTTTAATTTCATCATCTAGTTGTCTTCCCTGCTATCGTACAGTGTACTGGCCTCTCCATCTGAATCGCCTCTCCTGATGGAGCATCATCGCTTGCCGCGGCATAGCTCGAGCCATGGCACTCTTCATAGCAGTTATTCTCACGGGCGATCTACTCATGGCCCCTCCCCTGTCCGCCCATTACACAAACCTCTCCGAAGTGTCAACGAGAATTCCGTTTTGCTACCTTCACCAGGTGCGTTAGAGAGCATGCTGAAAACCACAACGGAGACGGGGGATATCGGAATCTTCAGCATCAAACCTGTGCCTCCATTACCGCAGCGAAGAGGTGCGTTTTCTGAAGTCAGTCAACAACGCTCCTCGCCCCGTCCTTCTGTTGAAGAGCTACAACGCCGGAATAATGGCAAAATTCCCCTATATAGAGACAGCGCCTCCGAAATAATCTCAATGCACGACTCGGAGAGTCACAAATCTAGTACAAGTACGTTGACCCCGACATGTGCAGAAGACATTGGGCCGCGTTCGTATTCAATGACCACCTGTGGATCTCGCCATCTTTCTCATCATAAGTCGACAACAACTTTGCAGAGTCAAGCTAGCGGGGGTCCGCTTCAACGTCCTCGATCACCCTTCCCATATCCAACTCGCTTGAAGAGACCTGGGGTTCGCCCAGCTTCTCCGGCCCTTACAGAAAGCGGGCGAGTAGACTATAGTCGTATGGTGGAAATTGACCGAGCCTCATATGTAAGTATTAAAATCCCTATGTGAAATTGTTAAATTCTTACTGAGAGGCTTTAGAGGACTGCTTATGGCCCTTATAAACCTTCCTACCCTCCGACACCACGAAGACCTCCCCTGGGTCTTCGAGCAGACGCTAACTTATCCACCGTCTCGCTACCCTCGCAAGGCCTGCCGCCTCTCAGCCGGTATAGGCCACATAGACCCTCTTCAATTCGGACCCATTCTACGGCTTCAATGGCATCTTATAATGCCCCATATCGCGAAAGGTTCGACAGTTCCTCATCCAGGACATCTAGTCTTACCTCGATTGTGAATATGTACCACAGGACGCCACATACGCCTAGAGTTGGTCCGAGTGGACTTTCCACTACTGTACCACGTTACTACGACTATACAGAAGGGTTCGAGAGTAGACAACCACGTGCTATAACTCCAGTTCAGCCTTTCGCTCCGGTCCCTACTCGCGTATCAAATTGCCACCGCCCACTAGTACTACAGGATTCCGATGAAAATCTGGCGGTTGTATTTGGGGAGCGGGATGTGGAATTTTTTGAGGCTGGTGGCAGCCCTGGTAGGGTGGACGGGCTCGAAGCTTTGAACGATACGAACGGGAACCACTATGAAAACTATCAAGTTACTGTGGATCGAGTACCATCCCGTTGCCGCACTGGCTCCATCCGTTCCGAGAGTAGGTCCATCGCATTCGATGGCTTAGAAATGGACAAGAGGTTAGAAACGGGAAGCGACATTGACCTATTGCCGTCGCAAGTAGGTAGAGATTCTATGGATACATTCAACCCGAGCCTTGATCTGGAGTCAAAAGACGCCCCAACGTACAGATACGCGGACTACCGCTTGACAGCCACGCCGAAAACGAAGGCAAATTCTCCAGAGAGGCAGGTTCAGGTCCTAGGTGGTAGAGCCCCTACAATTCGAAGCGAGCAAGGAGTGATATTAAGGGACGACACCCAGGGCGAGACTCTAAATGAAGATGAAGTGGGCGAAAGTGTCGCAACAGACCTAGCCGAAGGACAAGCCAATCGAAGTCTACAAGGCCATTCCGTCATAAAACGCCCACGTTCTGAACCAACTCAAGGGCTCTCAAAGTCCATTAAATACAAAACCGAATGCGAGGCTCAAAACAGGTTTGGCACGATAGCCCGTACATATTCGGATTGTAGTAGAGCTGCGACTCGGAGTAATGGCCCCGAAATTACAATTATGAGTGGCTCCGACACCCGCGAATATACCACTCGTGAGAATACCACATTTGTCGCTAATAGAGAAGACTGGGAAAATAAGCACAGTGACGCTAAAGATAGTAATGCTGTCTCATCCTCAGCAACCCAAATAACAACTGTACAGAGACAGCGGTTCCAACGTCATAAGAGGAACCAGGCAGTACCTAGAATTAGCACCAGCAGCTTGCCCAGAGATGACAACGAAGGCTTTCCTTACATCTCGCCGTCTTGTTCTACTACACCTATCGTCTCACCGAAACCGATTTCACCTGCCCGTCAACTAAAGCTGAAGAATAGCATACCTCAACTGATGAAAGCCCTGCCGCCTTTGCCTGGAGATCCCGATTATATGCCGCCTCCAACACCAAGTATACAGAGCACGTCAAGTAGCGACACTGACTTTGTCGAGGTTCTCGCTCCTTTCAAATTTGCTAGGTCCCCTACACTCCGTCAGTTTAAAGACGCTGTAGTTGTGGCACCGGAGTGCAGCCTTAAAGATAATCGAGCAATACGATTACATAAAAGTGCTCCGAAGTTGAGACTCAGAATGAAGACGTCTTATAGCTCAGAAGCTACAATCCCCTCCAGATCAGAGTTCTATAATGAGGATATGGAGAAATATTGGCCTTCTGGAACCCCCAATCCATATCTTGAGGACCAAAATGCTGATCGCGGTATTCGAATGAGAAGCAGGAATAAGTTGAGACTCCAATCATCCAGAAGTACTGTTGCTAGTACTGCCCCGTCCGCTACGGTTCGCCGGAATGTAGATAGAGAGGCATCAGATCATTCAAATGGTATTACGCGACAAAGGCAGAGGGACTTATTCGTATTTTCAACCGAACTAAGTCCTACCCCTTCTTCAATAAACGGAAAGTTGCTGCAACCACGATGCATCGAGGACTCTTCTACCGGGGGCACACCTGACATTGACCCACCAAACGGAGCAGCACCTCAATTTGAACAACGGACATCGCTGGCGAATAGAGAAACTCGGAATAAATCACTATATGACTCCCGATCTATGGAAACCCGTGCAAGCTCTAATGTCAGGCAGCCTCGGGGCTTAAGAAGACGCCTATCAGACCTTCATTGCTTGCTAGCAGGACCCCCAGGGCCAGCCTCAACCATAACGGACACAACTACCGAACAGGACAGGAAGGGAAATGAGACAGGTCGGGGTGTCACACCATCAAATATTAATATCGCTAGTCGCCAATCCGCTTCGAGAGATGAGCATTCAATTCGAGGAAAGCATGGTCGGGCTGGATTTAGTCAAAGAGTACGATCCAAGATTCTCAAATGGGTCAAAAACGCTAAAACAGCAGTACGAGCATGTGCAAAAAAGAATCGCGATGTCTGAAAAGCGAAACATGGTTGGAATACTACCTTAGGTACTCAGCTGTTCGTAACAGGAAGTCCCAAAACCACAGGTTCGACCTTTATTGGATTACACTACGAATAGGTCTTAACAGCCAGTTTTTGGAACAAATTTTGGGCCCATCACCGGTCAGGTCCGGATGGATGCTTTTCCATGTTTGCTTGCTGTAGTCGGATCGGTAATAATGGGGTAGGAAACTTGGTATAAACCGTCGTTGAGGGTCCCCTTAAGCAGGGTAGATCGGGTTTGGTGAGACTTGAGCATGCCATGTACTTGCAGTAGTTCGCTACCTTTGTGTTCACTTTATGATAGTCTCGAACAATATGAAGTACTTGATGGTCCAGATTTCCCAACCGAAATTAAGCTTCCCATTTTTTGAGGCTGAAGTTGCATGCCGAACTTAGCTTTGGTGAATAGATCTGGGCGGAGATAGACTTTCTAGCATGATTACCTAACCTGTTGAGAATAAGGAGGTCTGAGAGTCTAGAGAACACTGGAGTTGCGCCGGGAGTTGCGCCGGTTAGATTTAGCAGCATCTAAGTAGATGCTATGATGTTCCTAGTGTTCAGCTAAGTGTGCTCATACTCTAATATAAAAACCGGACTTCGTCCTGGATGAAGGGTCTGTTCGCACCTATTCGCCCCCTTTGATCTGTTCCTCTCATTTTCTCTCTTTCTATATTTGCATAGCAGCTAAATACCTAGCAGCATATGCTTAGTTACCTAGGTTCTTAGATCAACTTGCCGATAACAGCATCGTAATCTAAAGCAGTGGCAGACAGTTCCATTCGAATGAACTATTGCTTAGCAACGAATTTCGCCGTTAAGTTCCCCTAACACTCTGCCTAACACTCTTCACCCAAATAACAACCGACCCCGACCCCGACAGACACCAAACTAAAAATAACTCGGCTTGACGTATTTGGGTACTTTAAAAGTGCAGATAATCACGGTCGAAATGGCGTCGTCTCCCGCTGGCTCTTCTAGCCAGCAACAACCTACATTCTCGCATACCAACGGCAAGAAGACAACCATGGCAGACCCATACGGAGATAACCTGCCTAACACCAGCGGTGCCAACACTGCACCAAGCAAGAAAAGAAGCCTATCTATATTTGATGTCGATATCGATGCGCATAGCCGATCCTATTCCTCCACGCCCGCATCTGAATACCCTGCTGAATCATCACTCGCCCGCAGCGCCGCCCGGTATACCAACCTTTCTGCCCTGGATACATCTCACCCTCCTAGCCCTGACTTTAAGTTACGTGAGCAGGGACTTGACCACCAGATCAGCGTTTCTACATTAAGTACATTGGCAAATGACGCGATAGTTTATCCCGTGACAATAAAGTGGCCGTTGCAAGGACAAGCCTTCGCTGAACAACCAACCCAACCACCTCCGTACAAAGAGGTAGAAGATGTGAAGCCGGAGTCACCTTATGTTAACGAAGCAAAGCGCTTTGCACCTGCTGTGTCGGGTCAAAATTATCTGCACGGAACACAGCTTTCGTCCAACTATCGTGGTCAAAGCAGCAGCAGTCAGCAACAGGATAATCAAGGAAAGCCGGATACACTGAAAGAAAGCAGTGAACCCAGACCGGCAAGCAATCAGTCAAATGGGCCTGTGAAGGGAAAGAGAGACAGGATTTGGCCCTGGAAGGTACGTTCTTGTTCTCATTCTCATTCTCATTCTCCTTCTCCAGACCGCAAGACAAGTCTAAATCCTAACAAAATACATACAGAAGGGAACGTGCCGCAAGATCGCAGGTGATACTTGGCAAAATATAAAGGCCTTTTTCGGACACGACGCGACGCCGAAGCGATCACGGGGCCCCTCTGGATCCCATCAGGGGAGACCTGCCCCTAAGGACCCCTACGACAATGGCTTCCTGTCTGCGCCTAGGAGCACCCCGTGTCCCATCTCGAAGAATAAAGGGACACCACGATCGAACGCCAAGGCAAATGGCGAGGGATCCGGCAAGAAGACCGCCAGGAGCGCAAGAAAGTGGCTTTCCAAGCTATTATAAGCCCGCGAGATACGGGATATGGGTGCCTTGCTCAAGGCGCCATGTACGATAGCAGCAGGAGTAGAGTCGTCCGGTTAGAAGCCGTGGTTTTCATTGATACCCACACATGCAAGGATAGGGAGAGATTACGATACATAATTCGCGATGTTCTAGAATAATGGTAAAAAGTCTTTTCAAAACACGCCTCCGCCTATAATAAACAACCGTTCCTCCTCGCGCTTCGCCCACTGCATGATCTTATTAGCGCCCTGCGTCATGACGGTTCGCGAGGCGTTAGGCCCGGCCACGCAGTAGAACTCGAATATCGGCGTGATCCACGCTAGCGAGGTGGTGTCCTCTCCGACGCAGTGCAGCACTTTTACATGTGTGTGCTTGGCGTGGATGGTGGAGTGCAGGTTGTGGTAAAGGGACATGAGTCGCCGGTGGGAGATGAGGTTGGAAAATGTTGGGTGCAGAGAGGGCATGCAGAACTGGACGTTGGCTCGCGACTTGAATAGGAAGTGGCTGATGTGTGTTCCTGGTGCGATCTCGTTCATTTTTGGGCGTCCCTGTTGTGCTGCAGCTTTAATTATGTCCAGATGTCCCTTTTTCTTTAGTTCGGCCACGACGTCGTCTCGCATATGTTGTAGGTCGAAGAAGCTCTCTTTATCCGGGCTTATTAATATAATTGCAATCTCCTCGCCAGCGCCAGCCGCGCTCAAGTCCCTCTCAGACTCTGGGTCGACATCCAGAAAACTAACATACATGTAAAGATAACCGCGGTTGTTGAAAGCTGGCAAACAGAGTGGGATCCAGTTTTCACCACCGCCGGCTTTGACACCGCCAGACTCAAATAACATATTAAAAATAAGTTGCAGGTCGCTTGGGTGAAGGGAGTGGCGACGTGGCCGAATGACGCTGACTAGCCTTCCACCTGCAACTATTAGACCGTAGAGGAGCTTTTCGGTCCTCGTCTTTAGAAAAGCATTGTTGATGGCGTGTCGGTGCGATTTCCTAAGTCTTAAACATTCCAACGCTCCTAGTAGAGCAGATGGAGATCCTCTAGTGAAGCTATCCGCCAAAGAGGAAAGCAATGATTCAGTCCCCTGTAGAGGCTTCCGTAGGTCCGTAGATGGCCGATTGGCGAAAATATTAGTAAGAGTTGGAAGTGTCAAAGTTGATAAAATTTGCATGTAGAGGGCATCGAGTTGAGCCCTCAACTGAGAATCGCTCTCTCCAAGCTTGCTTATAGCGACGAGGTAAAGGGGACCTTCTGTCACGATAACGAACCGGGTGTTTCCAGCAGAAAAGCCTAAAAGAGGGTTCTTAGCCCCTTGATAAAACGAGATGATGGTTTGTACAACGCCCATCGAAGAGTTGATCATTTCCAAGTCCCCATATCTACTATAAATCGGTTTGCCAGCCGACGATAAAATCATGAAGTGTTTGAGCTTAGACTTCCAAAGTTTTAGTCTGGCCTCGTCGCTCCAAGTCTCGCTGGACTCGGGTATGTCATCAAATTCGAGGGCGAAATCGGCCAAGACCGTACCCTCATCAGCCTGGATAGTCTCAAAGGGCTGCACAGCTGCGGACTGCGAGTGCAAGAGCATCCACGCGGGACTCTTCTTGCTCATGTCTCCGACGAGTAGGCTCTCTAAGTCTCCCGGTGGTCGTAAAGTAGGCGCGAGGCTCATGATACTCATAGACTCGTCTATGTCGTTGCCTATGGAACTGAAGCCTACGCTTGCTGCCACAGCACTTGCCGAACTAGACGATTGCTCCGCGCCTTGGGAATTGTTCTCCCCGACTGTCGAGAAGGTCCCACGTGACCCATCCGGAAACGAAAGTGTCTGAATATTCATAGACGAAATTGCAGTAGTCGGTTTCGACGATAAGTTCGGCCTCTCCGGCACTGCCGTAGTTGAACCATTGCCTTGTGTTTGGGACGGTCTGGGAGGTAAAGGGGGAGGCCATTCTCCGCCTAAGACGGCAGCGTCCCCTGATGAACCAGCATTTTCCGCGCTCATCGTACCTCCGTTTCCGTAAAGATTCGTTGTACCATCCTTTTTTTAGTTTTTAGTTTATCGAACAGTAAATTGTCTTTAATCTCATCTACATCTCGCCATTTTGTGATAGGTTCTCATGAGGAGGAGAGGTCAAGAAATTAGTAATTATAAAGTCTAAGAGGTACTCTACTATGTAACTATGTAAAGTTGGAAATTAAAGTCTCAAAGTCATATAACTAATTCGTAATACAGGAGTTAAAGTGGTGGATCACCTTATCGTTATCTGTTATACGTCATCCCTGGTTATCCTATTCTAGTGGTCGTTTCGGAAAGAGAGATATCTTTAGCATAAAGCTGGGGAATGTAACCAATGAGATAGCTCTAAAATCTACCCCTGTTTCGAGGTACCGCTTTTATGCAATCGGGAAGTACCCTGACAGGCTGAACGGGATGTAACTTGTACCGGTTTAGCGGGTGCCTGCAACGTAATTCGCAAAAAAGATCCAATGCGCTTCAATTATTTTGACTTGTGAATTGTTACTTTGTACCTATCGTCTGTGGCCTTTCTTGAACCACAAACGAACCTCACAGACAGATGCGCCGCGGCAAAGATATGCACCCTGACTCTTCTGGTCTTGAACGCGACCCTATGGTCCTACGACCAGTGCCTCCTTAGTATTATCTATGTTAACTATGGCCCTCGAACCCAGTCCCCGCCGTTCCATCTCTCCGGATAGCTCTGGACAGAATACGCCTATTGTAAGACAATGGAGGAATCAACTAGGCGCAGGTACTTCACGCCAATGCCAATATTCCGCTTCAACTACACATGCCTTGCTAACATAGTTTAACTGTAGAGGATACACCTATAAAGGATAAGCACTACCGAAAGTACGCGTCAGGTGTCGAGAGAGCCCTGTCGCTGTTTGATACGGCTTTAGAGGAATGGGCCGATTATATCTCCTTCTTAAGTAGGTTACTTAAAGTAAGAGAGACTCGCCCTATATATCTATATATCTGTAACTATTGCGACCCAATGCTAAGCTAACATACTTCTTATAGGCCTTACAAGCACGTCAAGCTAGCATTACGTCCATCCCCTCCAAAACTCTAGTCGCAAAGCGCCTCTCGCAATGTCTTAACCCTTCGCTCCCTTCCGGTGTACACCAGAAAGCACTCGAGGTCTATACCTATGTATTCTCAATTATAGGAAAAGATGGCCTGTCTAGGGACCTTCCTCTTTACCTTCCAGGCCTTGCACCCACCTTATCGTTTGCCTCCTTAACCGTTAGGGCACCTTTCCTCGATCTCCTTGAAGCCCATGTTCTTCATGTAGACCCTAGGTCGCTACGGCCGGCTATGAAGAGTGTTATTCTAGCTCTCCTACCCGGATTAGAAGATGAAACCAGCGAAGATTTCGACCGAACGCTCAAAATATTAGAGAAATTCAAGGTGGTTATCCGACCTCCAAATTGTAGGGACCTTACGTCAACAGATTCGACTGGAGATGATTTCTTCTGGCAATGTTTCTTTCTAGCTACGATTACTGGCCAGAGCCGACGACCTGGTGCTCTTGCGTATCTGATTCGCAGACTACCAAGACTAGGCCATCCGATCACTCAAGAGGTAAACCAAAATAAAGCTCAAGAGATCGAGGCCGACACGCTGTCATCTGAACTTTCGGATCTCGTAACGTCCCCTGAACCAGGTTTACTCCTTAGATGCTTTGCAGCCGGGCTAGGAGACGAACAGCTCCTCATACAACGAGGTTTTCTGGACCTTCTGGTTACGCATCTCCCCTTACACTCAAAGGTGTTACAGAAGAGAGTCAAGAGTGACGACTTAGAGCTTCTGCTTCGGGCCGCTGCTTGTGTTGTCATCCGAAGGGATATGAGCCTCAACCGGCGACTTTGGGCTTGGTTTTTAGGACCTGAACCTTCAGGCCAAGAACAAGAGAATGGTCCGAAGTCACCCACTTCCCCGTCCGACCAGCATGGTTTTCTTAGTTCCAAAACGAGTTATTTCGAGGAGTACGGATTGCATCCTCTAACTCGAGCATTATTATCAATGATCAATACTGCTTATAATAGCAATCCTACAGAAAGAGCCCAACCATACCGAATATGTCTATCACTCATGGATAGGTGGGAGATAGGTGGTCTGGTAGTACCGGAAATCTTCCTGCCCGTAATGGTCAGTGTTAAGAATTTCGAAAATAGAGCTTCTAGCAAGGCCGAGTTCAATGAAGTGCTACGCAGCGCGAGCGTGTTCTTTGACGGTGTTGAGAGCGGTCTCATATTCGGCGAGATGATAGGGCTTGTAGCTCAAGCCGTTGGTCAGGGCAACGCGACGGACGCGGAGCGTAATGAGAAATTGGCACTTGTCCAGTTTATCATGGCACATTTTAATATCCGAGATGAGGAAATGATAACCGTCCACGCGCCTCTAGCTGCTCTGTCTATCTTAGCAATGCTTGAGGACGTAAAGGATCACAGAAGCGCATCTAAAACCCCAAGTGGGAGCGACACCTCGGCTGTTACGTTTCAGGCACTCGATATCGCTCGTAATTTAATCGAGCTTATTCCCCAACGAGCGTTCCCAATCAGGTCGGGAGACCGAGACTCGGTTGGATCCATAGAGGGGCCGGTAGTGGCGTCCATGTCAAACAGCGAGGTCCTTAGAAAGATTAGGAACTTCTATGATGCTGATCAAGGGAATCTTGAGGCTACACCAGCGCCTTTTGCGCCGCGGACCGTAGGAGCTCTCCTTGTTCAAAAGGCGTGCGGCTTAACTTGCGATAGCCTAACGACCGCCAACCAGGAGGCCGCAATATCTATTAGAAGCCGACTCCTGGGGCTTCTTCTTTCTAAAATCCCCGAACAATATACTATAGATACTGCAAAGCTACTCTCTGGTATGCAAGCACGGTTATCGGCACCTAGCATATCCTTCATCTCGTTCAAATCAATCCTCTTTCTCTCTACACAACTTTATACCAATGAGCGAATACCGGTAGCCCACCTATCAGATCTAGTTGAGCCGTTAGTTCGCCACGCGTGGAGTTTCTTATCTTTAACAGAGCCAAAGTATCATGTCGAAACCGTGAGGTGTCTCTGGCAATTGCAGACAGCCCTTACAACTTCGAACCGCGATATTGAGGCGGTGATTGCTGATTTAATGCTCAAGAATGATACGACAGGCACGTTCGCCATAAGACCGGCTGATCCAGGTCGGAGTTTTACTATCCTCTGGTCTCACACTTTGCAAGACAACGCCTCTCATTCCGATCGAAGAGCTCCAAAGACCCCTATTAGTGAATTTAGACCGGCGACTCGACTGTCTGGAATGGATTACTACGATATCATGCTTACCAGGCCCCTATTTTTAATGCTTGATTCTCTACTAGATGAGCGAAGCCAATTATTTATGATGGTAAAGAATTGGCTGAACACTATGGTTGGTATTGATAAGTATGTTGAACCCTTATAAAATGAGTAACAAGAAGTACGTAACTAATATAAATACCCAGACTATTCTCCATCTTCGTCACAAAAATATCGCAACTTAAGTTCCTTCGAACTTTCCCTCGGTCTACTAATCCCGTTGCGTCGAGCCAATCTGTTGAATTCTCAGCAGAGGATGACCTTGACCTAGCACTCTATTATCTCCGTACCCTATCCAACATATTCCGGTGGGCCCCTGACGCGTTCTGGGGAGTCCTAGCGACGAGGACAATTGAAGAACCCAATCAGAGTCTAATAGAAATAGGTGAGATAATTCTATATAGGATTCTTTGAATTCTCACTAATGATAAATAGCTGGTACGGAAAATAGCTTGTCCCTCCTGGAATTCTTCCTGCGTGTTTGTATGCGATGTATCGCCGGCAATATACTTCCGAGTGACAATCACCTACAGCTTCGAGTAACTCAGCTTCATCGTTGCGCATTGAATTTTCTTCACCAGATTCTATTAAATCCTTACGCAGATGGATTGTCTCGTCTAAAATTAGAAGACACCTTAATTGACCGTCTCACTCAGTCCCTTGGAGGACCTGACCCATATATTCAAGTACTTCTACTCGACGTCACCTTCGACGTGCTTAAACTTCGAGATGCATCACCCGTGGAAACGCCGTCTTCGCCTATAGGAGAGAAGCGAGCTATGAACTACGCGTCCGGTAGCGTGCGGTTATCTGCAGCATCCCTCGAGCATTTTCCTGAGGTAACGCCGCCACCGCCTTCATTACTTAAATGTATACAAGCTGGTCTTGAGTCGCCCAGTAGTCGGCCTGTCCTAGACAGCTGGGTTGGCTTCCTCACAGAGTGTTTGCCCTTCTATTCAGACTCTATCTTCCAAGTTCTGATTCCTTTAGTGGAAACGCTTTGCGGTCAGGTTGCCAGTACGTTTGGCAACCTACAGGAGACTTTCAAGCAAGGTGGGAAGCCACCGGAGAGGATTAACGCACCGGAATCGACTCTTATATCATTACTCAACGCACTCGAACAAGTTCTCGCTAAGGCGCATGACCAATTGCTGGCCGCGGAAGCTAGGGTTCAGGCCATAAAGAGTCCTGATCAGCCTCAAGGGTTCTTCGGGAACATGGTATCTGGTGTGTTCAACTCGGATGCTCCACAGTCTCGAAGCGTGACAGCCAATGACAGGCTGACTGTTCTGCTTGCCTTCCAGGATGCTGTCCGGATGTGCTTCAGGATCTGGTCTTGGGGGCAAGGAAGTGAAGCCGGTAGTATAGATATTGACTCGGCTTCCTCGTTCAAATATACATCGCTGCGCATGCGAAATCGGGCTAGACGCCTACTAGAACACGTATTCGCCGCCGAAGCACTAGAATGCTTAGAGACGGTGGTTGACATTTGGCGGAATTCCTTGACTGATCCTGACATGACAAAACACTTGGAAGTATTTAATTTACTCCCTGCTCTGGATGGATCCCGACCAAGGCATACTATCCCCGCTATCTTCAACGCGATTTACAGCCGATCGAATCCCAGCGCGTTGGAGACATCCAGAAAGTCGACATTAACCATCGAGCTACAAGATACAGATCTAGTGATCTTCTTAGTTGATTATGCTCGGTCTCTCGAAGATGACGCAATGGACGAAATCTGGCAAGATTGTATGATCTTTCTAAGGGATCTACTAGGCAATCCTTTCCCGCACAGGCAAACACTACCAAGTCTCTTGGAATTTGCAGCAATTCTAGGCGAGAAGGTCGACAACACAAACTTTGGGGAGCAGAGAAAGATGCGAAGGGAGCTCGGGGTACGTATTCTATATTTGATTCGAATAGGTTGGATTTACTGCTAACACTGAGTTAGGATCTTTTTCTGCGACTGCTCACTGCTATTTTCACCACGAGACCAGCTTCCTTTACAGATGGTCAATCATCCCCACAGTCAGAGAAGTCAAAAGTCGGCGAGAGTCGTCTTATATTGCCGGCTGAGAGAGCAGATGATGTGGTCGGCATCTTATCCCACATCGTGCCTAACCTACCCAAAATTCTTGTAGAATCTGATCGAGTTTTGACGGCAGCAGGCGCTATTTCTACAAACGTGATTGGCCCTTCTATCCGTTCAAAGGCCTTCCCCGACACAATTTCCAAGACCACGTTAACTCTACTTCAAGAGTTGACCAGGCTCCCAAATAATCAGAAAACTTGGAAGAAGGACATCGGTGACGCTTTTAACGATTCTAGGTTCTTCAACTCGTCCGTTAACCTGGTACGAAGCGACTGGTTACCCCTGTTGAAACTTTGGACGGTTGCAGATAAAGAACGGATGCCGGAAATTTTGGGACGAATAACGCCACCCACGACAGCCGGTATAGTATTCGGAGTGGGTGCTACTTCGGCAAGATTAGAAGCAGACCGAAAGACACAACTCAATCTTCGCCGTGTTGCAACACTGATTCTTGCGTGCGGTACAGACACGTTTGTCGCAGATCTTCCACTTATCCTTGAGCGCCTCATCGAACTCCTAGCGGCAACATGCACGTCTTCGCCTTCCTCAACTACGCGGTCCGAGATTTACATGGTGGTCCGCGCCCTTGTACTTCGGACATCCGTTATCCATCTTGCGCCTATCTGGCCAACTATCAATGCTGAGTTACACGTAGTCATATCCTCCGTAGCAGCGCCAGACAACAGCGCCTCATCAGACACTTTTAGCAACACGTCCATTCTACAGGCTTGCAAGCTATTAGATCTGCTCATCGCCGCAGCACCAGACGACTTCCAGTTACACGAGTGGCTTTTCGTCACGGATACCATCGACTCCATCTACCGATCTCCTAGCTACCAGCCAGTAGCACTTGTAGATGAGCTGTCAGAAGAACTAGGCAATGTAGCATCCGACGTTACTACTGCAGCTTTGCAGACAGAATCTGCAGCCGCGACAACTATAAGCGGGCCGCCTCAGCGAAGGCCGCTTCTGGGCCACCCGGGAGGTATCAGCGACGAATTAACGGTGGATAGGAAGGATGAGCTGGTGGCTAAGATATTGCGACCGTTCTTCGCGCAGCTGAGCATTTACGCGTTCGAGTCTACGTATGCCATGGGTACGTTGGACGCCGATACGTGCGTGGACAGTCTGTTGAGAGACTTGTTTGATGAGCGGACGATTGTCAAAGCCTTGTAATTGTAGCTAGCTGGAGGGGAGTGGAGGGGAGGGGAGGGGGGTATAAGGGGTAGGCCGAGGGGTTAGCCCATGTATTAAACCTAACCGTGCGGCGTTTTGCTAGCGTTTTGTCCGTGAGCGGATTAGAGCGTTAGTGGGATAGGTGAATAAAGTACATTAGATGACAACTTATTAAGCGTCGTACTAGTGCTATAGATTTACGCCGCGATATTTTTCGTACTGATTGTACTAGTCTATGTGGTAGCTTAGGTACATTAGGGAGTATAGTACCGTGCAGAGCGCATGGGAGATAGTGGACTCAGCCCCTTTACAGAACTCAGACTCGGTGCGTTGATTAATTTTTATAATGTAGAATAGTTTAAGAAGACTCCTTTTCTTTGCTTTGCTTTGCTTTGCTTTGCTTCCAGTCGTATGTATATACACGTAAATCTCGTTCCCTGCCCCCCTATGCCGTAAACAGATTTCATTTTGTACCCTTTACTTCCTTCCTATCTCCTCTCCCCCGTTCATCCAGGGCCATAAGTAGGTAAATACCTAACGTACATATCAAAATATCAAATCCAATTTTCTTCCAAATACCTACCCAGCCGGCACCGCACCCGCACCCCCTCCAACAACAGGAGGCCCCATGACCCTCTCAAGCGTGCTCTCGAAGTCGGCACGCCGTATGACGGCGCCGTAGTGTATGCAGTCGACGACGGCGGCCATCTCGACGCGCAGACGCTCCAGGCGCGGGGCGTCGCGGAGGAGGGCCGCGATGCCGCCGTATAGCCGCGCTATCTCGAACCAGGCTTGCACGGGGGCTAGCTCGGCGGATTCTTCGGGGTTGGGGTTTAGGGCGGCGGCTAGGCCGCGCAGGTTCTCGAGGGTGAGGAGGGCCGCGGTGGAGGTGGAGGTGGAGGGGGAGGTGGGGGTGGGGGTGGGCCAGGATGTTATTACGTTGGTGAGGCTGTGGGGGTGGGTGTGAGGATGGGGATTGGGATGGGGATGGGGATGGGGGGAGGCGTGAGATGAGGAAGAGTGGGTGTGGGTGTGGGTGTGAGTGTCTAAGGGTAGGGAGGGAGGAGGTGCAGAGTGGGAGTGGGAGTGGGAGGGGAGTGAGGCCTGCCGAGCCTCTTCCGCGCTGATTTGCGCCCAGGCTTCCGGCGGTGCGCTGCGCAGTGCCATCGTGCTGACCATGAGCGAGTGTCCGTGCTCACGTGCTTCCGGATCGTAGTCGTTGTGGTTGTACATCGAGGGGTGGAAGTGGTTCCAGCAGATGCGTTCGAGTCTACATTCGACGATGTTAGCTTTCGCCTCTTGCTCCTCTTTATAATAGCCATTCCAAGAGCCGGGGAGGGGGCAGATAGATAGATACCCCCTATATATATACGTATATATATATAAAATGGGGGGTAACAAGAAAAGGAGAAAAAAAAAAGAATTGTTCGTACTCTAGGATAAAGTTGATTGCCTGATCAGTCTCCGTCTGTGTTATTAATAACCTCCTCCCTCTTATTCCGGCGGCATCTTCAAACCCGCCGGCCGCACCAGAAGCCGTCTGCTCGTTTGCGAACCCGCCGAGCGAAGACCACGATGATGATTGCGCCGACACCCGCTGGACTTGGAACATGGGTTTGTCCAGGGCCTCGGACGAGTTGATAAGACTGACCGTGTACTCCGGCAGAGAAGATATCGAAGACCCGTACGTCAACGCCAGCGGCATCAGACCAACCTGCGCAGCCGGGGCCGGAGCTGTATTTCTAAGGAGACGGCGGCGAATAGTCTCGTTCTCGTTCCTGATGGCGAGACTCTCCCGCTCCGTGTGCTCTATCAAGTCGCGCAGCTTAGCGACGTCCATCTCGAGCTGATTGGTGTAGTTGACCTTTCTCTGGCGATGCTGCTTCTGCGCCTTGCGGACCTGCTGCCGGCGAGCTAGCGCCTTGGCCTGCGCGCTCTGGCTCTGGTGGCCCTCCTGCCCATCGTCGTTATCTTCCTCCTGATTCGAATCGGTCTTCCTAGTAGGCCCTGTGTAGAACAGCCAGGTGTTAGTTAGCTTTGACTAGCACGACATACGACATGACCATATGTCCCAGGTATATATAGGGTATATATAGGGTGAATATATATATATGAAAATAAACATGCGCAGTCTAGTAGCATGAAGCCAAGATATACATGCTACTTATTATTCGCAATAGGTAGGGGGATAGATCATAGAGTAAAGAAACTGACACCAACCTCAAATACCATATGTACGACATGACATATCATCAATGGTTTAGGTACATACCTGTGCTTTGTTCCGGGTTACTCGAGACGAAGGTAATACGTCTCGCCGCCTGCTTGGTGCGTTTCCAATAGTCGGTAAACGAGGGTCTCGATCTGCCACTGCCACTTTTGGTACTGCGACTGTCTTCCGCCGTAATGCTCCCCGTCTCCTCCCCTTCCAACGATGAGCCGGCCATGTTTCCTAGTTACCTACGTTACCCCGGACGGTGGTACGCACGGGACGGGTAGACAGAAGGGATTTCGCCGTTATCGTTATGGGCGGTGGTGCGGCTACAAACCGAACAAGTATTGTACATAGGCAGGTAAGCATAAGCAGACGTGGGGCTATTGGCTATTCCAGGGGTTGTAGAGGCCAGTGATTTGGAATCTCCGTCTCCTCTTCTGATCGTCGAGCGAAATCCCTTAGGCGCACGTGCAGGGGCTATAATACGTTATAATACTAAAGGATACATACAAGCAAGACATGAAAGGAAATAGTGATTTATAACCTCAAGCTTAATTGATTCCATTTTACTTTTGTGACGGTGCGAAGTAGAATCCCGAGTTATTACGGAACTCATGCCGAAATAAAAGATTTGCGGCGAGTACACGTAGTATAAGGTACTCTACTATAAAGCGGATAAGCAGGTCAAGAGTCCAAGATATCTAACTTTAGACGTAAAAAGCGTGATAAACTACAAAGGTAAAGGTAAAACGCCCAGCATCCTAGAAACAAAACATGTATCAAATCATTACGGCCAGTTCTGACCGAGAGCGCCATCCCTAAATACAGGTATCATTCCTTTTTTGTCCAGCCCTTCCCTTCCCTACCCAAGCACTAACGCCGATTGAATGAATGCATGTCGTAGAATCTACATCAAGCAGATAACTACTCGTCCTCGCCAGCCTCTTCATCTGTGGCGGTATCTTCTTCAACCTCTTCCTGCTCATCCTCACGATCCTCCTCATCACTGTCCTCGTCCTTCTCGTCTCGGTCGAGGCCGGGTATAGGCCGCCATTGGAGGTAATCCTGTTCAACCCATCGCTTACTTACTGGGAGTTGGTATGGGTCGAACGGGAAGAAGGACCCTAGTTGCTGCCAACTCTCATCATTCATATCGAATGACAAGTCGCGCAGGGCGCCCCCGCTAGAGTATGCTCCGGCCGAGAACTGTGATAGACGAAGTCGCTTATTCGACTCGATGGTTGGGTACACATACATGAATCCAAATCGATGGGCTAGCTTTGCGAATTGTTCCACGATCGCTGGCGAGCAGACTTTGAGTGGATTTAGCTTCGAATGGATATTACGACGCATGATATCTTTAATCTCCGGCTCCCATTCGATCTCCTGGCCTAGATACGATGAAAGGTCATCCGTATCGACTTCATCAGGCACCGACTTGACGAGGTCCGGCCATCGGAAGCAGAAAACATACATCAACGCCTGTACTAGCGCGTAGAACGGCGCGTATCGACGGACGTCGGGCCCGCGGCATGATACCTCGTAGAGAGCTCGCATCTGGTCTAAGTGGAAACCCAGAACCTCAAAGATCTTAACGACAATATGACCTGGAACATGTGCCCCACGAGCGACGAAGCTCGCTAAATAGGCGGACGCCGCCTGCTGTAGGATCATTGGACGTTGAGATTCGAAAGCGATGTTGATGCATGTGCCGCAGAATGCGTCCATCAGCCTCTCTGATTTCTGGCCAAAATGGAAGATTAGGAACTGAGTATGTCTTGACTTGATTGTAGGTAAGATGATGCTCGAGAATTCAGATAGTAGATCCTCGAATGCCTCTAGAGCTTCATCCGAGTCCGGATTAGTGAAGCTGGGCGTATAAAGCTCGAATAGGGTATCAAGAACGGAATCCATCTTCTCGATGTTCTCCTTTGCTGTTTTCACGCGCGTATACTCGTCATCTTCTGATTCGTCGCTGTCTACGGACTCGGCATCGCTCTCGTCGTCATCTTCTTCGTCCTGATTTCTGTTCTCTCGAGAAGAACGGAGAGCCATGGCCACCATTGTGGTAAGCCTATCGTCCATATCATCCAGGTCCATTTGCATTTCCACATCGATTTTGACTAGGCGACTGATAATCAAGTCCATGATTTCAGTCTTCAGGTCAGGGCAGTATGACCGTAGTCTCAACAGATTGTCGACATATACCAAATGCATCCGCTTTGACTCGTCATGGAAGGGGTACTTAGTAGCTGTGAGATGCTCCAGGACGGGCTTGGCGGCGGGGAATAATTGTATCAAGTATCGGAGCGCAATGTGGAGTCTTTCTTGTACGGTCTCACGGTCGACGTTCGGGTAGGCAGGGACCGCCCAGTCAGAGGGTCGAGAGTCGGTAAATCTATCAACGATGGATGATAAAACTTGTGTTAAACGAGCGCCTTGAGCACTGACGAGAGCCGCGAGGAACTGGACATAGATTTTCGCAAACTGCTCGTCCCGCCCAAGCCATTGGCATTTTAATACGCTTTTAACAAGACCGTCGCATGATCTCCCTAGGCGGGGAGAGAAACTCGCAAGTGAGATCAAGTAGACCTTAAGTTCTTGACGTCGCTTTGCCGGTAAAGTAGGATCCGCATCCTCATCTTCGTCGTCATCGTATGCTGTTGACTGTTTCCCAGATAGCGTCTCTTTTAATATATCGTAGTCCTCGTCGTCCCCTTGATCATGACGATCTAAGGCCTTTCTAACCTCCTGTTTTACTTCGTCTACTGACCGTATTCCAATCTCGTGAATCTCGATATTATTTAGATCGAACTCTACTCTCTGGCGTTTTCGGGGACTCTCAGGGGGTTCCATGCTATCACCGTCGAGGCCAGCGTCATCGCTAGTTCTCTTAGTGTTGAGTAATGATGAAGAGGGCTTCAATATTGGCTTAAGCGGAGTAGTAGCCTTCGCGGCTGGCCGAGCAAGCTGCTGCGGGGTGGCACTGGTCATAACGAGTGACATGGAGGTTTGTTTTACAGATTTTTAGATATTTTTAAAGTCTGCTATCGAATGCCAAGTCCGAACCACCGTAGATTCTATTATGCAGTACTCCGGCATACTGGTCCTAGTGCTGTTTTATGGTGAAATCGCGACCTAATTTGACGCGGGTCGGCAAGGCTGTGAAGAGAAATTTTAGAAGAAGCAAGATGACAAAATTTCAGCGATATGTAATATGCACGCCCGCATCCACAGAAAAAAAAAACAGGGGTCTTTCGATGACAGAGTAGGAGGGGCAACGACGACTGGTTTTAATTTAAAACCTTTAAATGGTCTGTGCATAGCGCTTGTACATAATTGCCATGCTGCTTACGTATATAGCAGGTACCCAGGTACCTAACCTAGCAGCCTAGGTCCCTAAGAAGATTTTGTTAGACCAATCGACTTACACAAACCTCAGAAAAGCATACCCTACCTCTAATAACCTACCCTTACATATCAATCAAGGACTTACGTATATAAGTCTTAGTTCTTTGACTAGTTAATATTAAAAAATCTTGATCTTTACTAAGAGAAATGACCTATAAGAATTTAGATATCACTTTTGTAAGGTTTTATAGCTATAGTCAAGTCAACATAGTAACAACCTCTCGAATATACCAGCGAAGAAAATTATAAAGTAAATTCGTTTCTCAACACAATGAAATAATGCTATATAGGTAGCTTGTAATGCTCCGAGAATTGGTCTGTTCTCCAATGCTCGTGAAGCCAGAATAACTGCCGAATGTAATCCGTAAACTGACGCGGAATCTCAAGACTGATCATGAGAAGCGTTGAGAACCGAATAGGGGGGGAAGAACGCCTCGGGGAATCTATCGAAGTGAAAAGTGCGAAACCGGACCCTTTTTTAACGCGCAGTCCCCCTTCCATCGCCATCCATTGCGAGTCCATATACAGGGGTAAAAGATGGACGCTCATCCCTGATCCGAAGAACCAATCTGGGGATGAATGCGCCGAAACCCTCAGAATCCTAGTAGTTATACACACTTGAAAGTAGTATAGACCGTCTCAAACTAGATATTAGAAATCAGATCGAGGCTCTATAACCTGGCCATCTCATCTACGGACGCTGGGCGCGAAACTTAATAGGTCTCGCTGGCTGCGCCGTTGTGACTAGGCTGGGCGTAAATATAGCCTTCGCCCGATTCGCCAATACCTCCCGTCCCGTCATTTCCTTGGAAGCCCGAAGTTCCGGCAGCACCGGATCCGCTAGGCGCACTGGCTCCGTAACCCTGGCTGTTCGGCCTGTTCTGCTGGTTTTCACCCCGGTTGGACTGGGACTGCTGGTCATTGGTTAGCACTACTCATGAGCAAGGCGAGGCACAGGCGGCGTGCACGCCTCGAAGCAAGGGATGACAGCGGGAAACAGTACCTCTCGGTATTTAGACAGGTAGATCTTTAATGCTTCGGCATAATTCTCGAAGCCCAGAGACGTCATAGCGAATAGGATGTCTTCACCGTTAACGGTTTTCCTTTTCTCCTGGTGGCATTTCTCCGATGCTGTGTACGGTGTTAGCCTTCGCTTACATCAAGAGGAATAAATAATAGCGAGATAGAAAAAAATAAGGTTGCGTGCTCACCTTCGCTGGTAATGAAGGAGATGAACTCGCTCACGCACTCCTGCATACACTCCTTTGCCTCCTTTGCGATCTTAGCATTCTCGGGTAGTGCAGTTTTCATGATCCGGGCAACTGGAGCGAAGTTTCGTATGTTAGCATCGTAAACATCATATCTGTCGGCTTTAGAAGCGCGAGGCGCTTCCGGCGACTTAGACGACGAATCGTGAGACATGGACGCCTTCTGCTGATGCGCGGCTGTCTCGAGCTAAAGGGGGGCCCATAAAGCACCAATTGACGGACGCGCCGCGGTCAGAGCTCCGCAGGAGCGATACTCTTCGAAGCTTGCAGGCCAGATCCCAAAAGCAGACTCGGGCGCACCAAATCAGAGACAAGAGTCGGAGGAGGGTCTCAACTCACCATTGGCTATGGGCAACCACCTGTCCTGCTCTTTTACCTCGAACTCATAGGCAAGGCCAGAGCCGTGTGGGTCCTGAGGGTCGTTCATTTGTGCTTCATCGTCGGGTGACTGTACACCTGGCTCAACGTCCTTTGGAGGAGATTGGGGGGAATCCGACATATTTGGCTACCTGCAGCGGGTGGTAGCTTCTTGTAAAATTTTCTTGGACTGCCAGCTCGCACAGCTGGTTACAAGGTAGAGATGATGTGTCCCTGCCTCTGACACGTTGCAAGTGGTAGGGCTTGCAACTGAGCGCGGCTTAGCTGCAGACAAGTGCGTCAATCCTGCCCTGTCGCGCGGGTCCCAGAATTATGACCTAGAGCTATTTACTTGTCCCGTTGGCACGCCCTGTCGCGAACTTCAGGCTATGACGGAATCTGCAGCAGCGGGCGGTATGTAAGGTATGTACGGGACGTGTATGGATGTGTATGCAGCAAGCCTGGGCTTGGTATAGTGTAGGTAGTATACTGTAGCGCGGTGTAGTGTAGTGTAGTGTAGTGTGTAGTGAGCAAGTAGTGTGAGTAGTGTGGTTGGGTGGTGTTTGGTGTACGGTACAAAGTCACAAAAAAGACCGACGTGACTTTTGTGTGGACAGACTCGACGGAGATGTGGATGTGGGAGAATGGGACAGGATGCGATCTGAGGTACGAGAGTACCTAACCGGTCCGGGTTTGGAAAAGGAAAGCGGGGATTTGCTGCGGGCCCTTCTTTTTGAGAAGACGCCGAGGGTTGCGTTACTTGGAAGACCCGCTGTTTCCTTCTACACTAACTGATAGACTACACTAACCAGCTAGGTTAGCTAACTACCTACCTAACCTATACCTACCTGCCTACCTCCTACCTCCTACAAATATGTACCTACTAATCTACTACCGTATCCTCCGTATAATACCCTGCCTTCTAGCCGTCGAAGCTACCTACCTGTCTTGATTGCTACTTCGCAGATTCCTAACCTCCTAACTTCCTAGCGCTGGGGCAGGGACGGCTACCTAGGTATGTAGTTCTTTAAAGCAAGATCGCCTTGCTGCATTGTGCAGATTGGATATATGTAGAATGGTACATAACATTGATGTATGTATGGTGCTTGGTACGTGGGGTTGATGGATTCTCCCAAGTATGAGGAATTAACGTTCGGGGTTGGTAGTGGACAAATGCGGCTGCCTTACAAACCCTACAAACAGTACGTGGTTTACCATAGCTACATTGGTTATCATAGCTAACTACATAGCTCAGCACCGTTTTACTATAGTAGGTAGTCCGGTCAGGGTTGATTTTTTTTTCTTCTTTTTTTCTTCTTTTTCGTAAGGGTGTGGATATGTACAGTATGGGTTACACCAAGGATTGAACTGGTCAGAATCTCTTTCAATAAGACTTAGTCATTAATAAATGGTAAGAAACATACGACGAGAGGCAAGACTTCAGTATTGACGAAAACTGGGGGCGGTTTTCTGGAAAACTCCAGCTCGAGGTTGGATGCACAGAAGTGGATTTCTCTACGGGCTGGCCGCATAGCGCGTTATCATCAACATGTCCAGTCATGTACAAACGACGTAGGTTCCCATTTTTCCTCGTTATAATTACGTAGGCTATTCGTTAAGTATCTGGGTCAGATATAGATTCGAATAGAAGCAGCGTCTGGCTCGGCATACTGATATATCTTGGTATTAATTATGTTTGATAGGTATGTACTATAAGGTATACTTGGGATACGAGCCGTAATTCGAAAATAAAATAGACTAACATAATACATAATACATCGTATAAGTTGAAAACAAATATAATGAGTATAGATGTGGATGATGAATTAAGTATACTATTGGTATATTATCTACCTGGCAGGTCACGCACGTCCCATAGGAACATTGAAGCGCGCATTTACGTGGGGAACGTGCAGGAAACCACTTAAGGAAGAACCGCGACGTAACTAATAGAGCATGGGAAAAGATTGGATGTTAATAATAGAAGTTAATTAAAAATTAATGAGTCAAGGACAACAGTTGTTTGACTTGTACACGAACGAAGAGACAATATTGGAAGAAAACAGGCCAACAAATTGGCACATCTATAGAAAACGGGAAAGGGTAATGCTAGACGGCAATACTAGACGGCAATACTCTCCCATACTTTCCCATACTCTCATATTTTGGAAAGTACCTTAGGTAACTGTATGTATAGACATGTATGGTATGTATCGCGCTTGCTTCGATTCCAAATCGACAGATAGGTAAGTACCTAACCTACCTCCTACATACATACATACATAGGTAACCTCTAATATCCATAAACCTAACATTATACATACTCAAGAATAACTTCCGTCCTCAAGGTTACTTCAAATCTAAAGTCTACGCATAAATCCCGCCCTTAGCTGTCTTGATTTCTTCAGCTCAAGTCGCAGGTAGCTTTCGGATCCTCAGACGCAACACACTGTTGGACTGTGATATGCCATCATATCCGCCACACCGGCCCATTCCCCATTCCCCCTACGGACCAAGCCGGCCGATGCATCATCTCATACATTAAGCGGTGAAGTCAACTTACCCCAAGTTGGCTGAGCGCATGATATCCTGAGATATAGGCAGCCCTATTTTCATATTGTCGGCATCTTACAAAAACCTTTTGCCAAACGTCCGTTGTCGCTCGCCCCATGCGGTCGTTGTGGTCGTTGTGATACCTATCTAACGCACTCACCTTCGACGCGGGACGGAGTGGAGGGGTGATTCCGTCGCTGATTCGACAATCCCCGAAATAAACAGCTGTCCGATGTATGTGCTTACCCGACAGGAACAGGAAGCGCGGCCTGGCTTATGGGCTCTTGGATCTTGGGGGCCGCGACATCTGTTTGGATAACTATTTCAGCATCTCGAGATGAAGAGGATGGCGACTGGCTGTAAAGATGACCTTAGGTAGGTCAAGGGTTCGCATTAATACCCTTTACCGGCCAATTGCAATACCTAGCACCGAGTTTCGGTTCTGATTGGAAGTAAAATCACAATTCTAATTCAGGAGCTCTTCCTGTCCCGGAATGTGGAGAAGGGAATGATAGGCTTTGAAAGCTTCCATGGCGATATCGCCGTCATCGCTTAATCCTGGTAGCCCATCAAATCGACTTCTCCTTTCTTGGCCGGCCAGCCCTGCAAAGCTTGATGCCACATGCCACATGCCACCGTACTTGCGTACTTGGTCGACCTCAAATATGTACGCTTGAGCACCAGAGCACCTGGTACCTACCGACATGCACGTTGTATGCGGCCTAACTGTGTCCTACGAACCCACATATATACGTACGATCCCATGGATGCCCAATCGTCGGATGCGAAAGTAGCCTTGTAGCTGTCTCATGCGGTCCTTAGCAGATGTAATGTTTAAATAACCCATCTAAACTAAGATTCGCTCTAGGGTGCACTAAAATGAGAGTTACCGTTGTACTGGGAAAGCAACTCATTGGCGACAATATAATATGCATCTAATGCGCTGCTATATCAAAAAAAAAATCAAATCAAACAGCTCCGAGGCTCTCCCGTCCGGTTCGGAAGGGGACGTGGGATATTCCCCCCATCTTCCCCTCCGGATCAACACCCTGCTGACACTTGGGCAGAGGTGCAGCCGTGCGAAGCTCAGAGGTACTCGTGTGTAGTTCCCTATTCAAGCCAGCTGAAGATTTACATCTTCGATCGAGCGACCTACATACAGCAGCATTGCGCTGTAACTTTCGTCCTGCTAAAGCTGCCCGGGAATTCCGTATCACGTCTAAGGCAACCCAGCACTTGCAGACTACCTACCATGTGTTGGGCCGAGCTTTTCAATTGGGATCGTAGTAGTCTTTATCGTCACTCCCCTCCACAAACTTATGTTATCTTATGTTATGCAAGCCTTAGGTGGGCGAGTCGCGGTTTGCGCAGTCTACTAGGAGGACTAGGAGGACTTGTCACTCCTGTTTCAGGCTGGCAGATCATTGTCATCAGCGACACGTTGTCACTCGACCACCCGAGCGTCGCCGGCACTCCAAGGAAATCGGCATGTGGCATGTGGAGTTCCCAAGCGCATGCCAGGGACCCCGCCCTCGGAACATCTGCCGATAAACGAGGCAGATGATATCCATATGTAGTCCATGATCTCTTCAGGCCATATTCTTCGACTTTTAATACGGTACAGGGATGTTGTATTGATGGCAGGCTATGTATATCAGTGTGCTTCGTAGATGCAGAGTCAGCGTAAGCCGCCCTATTTGATCAGATCATTTACGACCAGTCAAGACAGCCAACCCTTTCCGCGGCCTGCCCTCCAATCACCACCGCTTGCAAACGTTGATCATGACAGCCTTGACAGAAGCCTGTCGTTGGGCACTGAGACGCCCTTGACGCTAGGCTCCGCCGTCTGCACCTCCAATTGTACAACGCATCGACACCATCTTTTTTATATCGCCGTGCCTTTGCCGACGACTTCAAGGCGAGGGCTATACCTATGGCACCATCTCATCCACCTCAGCGTCGTGCAACAAGTCAGTCCGGCTCAATCTCGATCTCGTCTAATATAGTCATAGTGCCTAAAGACCAACGCACTCTATGAATCAGTCGTACTTAGATGCTGTCTGACTTGGTAATCATCCATTAGCCTACTCATTTCGAAGCGTTTATCGAGAGCCTCGAAAACATGTCTATCCCGTATCGTAGCCCTAGCATGGTTCCTATAGCCACTCCTCTGCATTGCAGCGCCGAGGCTGCGTCACGACTGTACAACCTGGATGTTGTTCTTCTTCTGTTCAAACGGTTATGTAAGTCTATGGCAGTCGAAATGGGGTAGGGCCATCAAGCTGGATAAACCGGAAATTCCAACTTTGAGGAAGTGACGTACCTTCCACTTTTCTAGGTCGTCTTGTTTGATCTTGTACTGCTTGACCAAGTCGTCGAGCACTTTCTTCAAGCCCTCAGCATTAGTCCTCAAAGCAGGGATTACGTCCTGGACTGTCCGCTCCACCAGCACGCCGTTGATCATGCGGAAGCACTTGCGATCCCCCGGAAGCGGTTCCAAGGTATCAAGAACAAGCCTAGCGAGACAGAATAGTTGACGAATTAGCGGTGAGTTCAACAAGTGAAGCGGTGAGGTATATGAGATGATCTAGTCAAGACGCTAGAGGTGAAAAACCCTGGTAGGGCTGAGGCCATACGAGCGGATTGCCATGCCGTGCCATGCCAGGGAGCTCACGAAAGTGGTTCCGTGATGTCAGGAATGACGAGAGGGTAGAGAAGAGTCTCACGAACTTGTGTTCTTCGGCTTCTTGCTCAACATCACCAATCTTCTGGGCCAATTGCTGCAGGGTGTTCTTATAGTTTGAATATGTTGTTTGCAGCTCTGCCAGATGAAATCAGCGGAAGCTCTTGGTCTTGGTCTTCATGTAAGTTATTCTTCTCAATGACATACCTTGCTGCTTCTTAGCCGATATACCCTTAGATGCCATGATTATGATTTTATGCGGTTGACATTTATAAGGAGATGGAGTTGGTATGGGGAGTAGTGTACGGGAGTAATACACTATCTATCTTATTAAGATAAGATTAACTTTCATCTAGCACCTGAGCTTTTGAATTAATTGACGTTTGTTGTAGTGAGCAACTACAAATTAATTCATTGGAGGGGTCAAAAGGGCTGGAGGGGTGATTGTGGAGCCTATAAAGTGGCCCTATAAAGTGGCCCATGCTTTGCCTAAATTTGTTCCTGTCTTTGTTCCTGTCGCGACCAATTTTTGGTTGGTTTGCGACTGAAAGTGGCACCATTGAGACCAGTACCAGTCAGACCATCCTCCTATATACAACCTCATTCTCCAAGTCTATTTTCCAAAACGTTTAAATATGCATCCGCACTTACACACAAAAGATAATATCGGTACGTCTTTACGTCCTTTAGCTTATAAATGCTTGCGAAGAAAATAACTAACGGGCATATCTCGTAGCTTGCGAGGAGGTCATGACCGCCCTTGAAGAATGTCACGCTAGGGGATTCCTCTGGAAATCAATGGGCATGTGCAACGATGCCAAACATCAAGTTACCCTATGCCTCCGAGCCGAGCGAGTAAAACGTACCGCAAAGAACCGAGAAGCTGCTAAAGCCAAGCGTGACAAGATCAAGTCGGCATGGGCTGATATCGACGAGAACTCATGACGAATATATGGCGAAAGCTACTAGTCTTCCGTATTATAGCGAGGATATGTCGAGAGTATTCTTGATTTTGGCATGGCATGGCGTTCTAAGAAGGGTTATAGCATTTTGGCTTGGTTTACACCAGCGGGTTGGTCTTTTCACAAGAGGATACGGAATACTTGGATGGTGTTTACACTCCACTCTGATCGCGGTTCCAAGATATGTTTTGCAGAACATCATTTCAAATTGACAGCTACATACTGGTCGATCTGAATCCGTTGCGCCACAAATTATCACAGAAATATCTACCCACGCCGCAATCAACCTCTCCCTCACAAAGTCTTTCTGAAGGCATTACCGAAGGTCAAGAGACCGAAGACGGAAATGAAGCTGAGAACAGTCGGGACTGGCTTTCCGCTACGGAGGGCTCGGGGAATAGAGGCGCCACCAAGGACAACGGAGGCGAGGAGGGCGAGTTCGATACCGAAAGGCTGACGCGACTGCAAGCGATATCCTCCCAAGGCATCTTTGCGACATCAAATTAGTTTCATACACATTGTAAATCAGCCTTGTCTTAACTTGGTAACGTACACAGTATACCAACTGTCAAGCCAGCTATGACAGAGGGGACGGATCCCGTCTTCACGTAGCCTATCGTACCACCGCTTGCGGTCAAGGCGCCCAAGGCAAATGCGATAGTCTCTAGAGCCTGCCACGGAACCCCGCGTTAGCTCTGATGGATCGTTGGGTTTGTCGAACTCACCATTCTTTCTTGGAACTTGATGATCTAGAAGTTTCAGAGTATTTAGACGGCGAGATAGGAGATTCTCTAGCTTTGCTCAATGTCAATGGCGTTGCTGAAAGTCAAGTTCATAAAGTTAGACAAAATGTTAAGGCTTGTAGGTATCATAGATGACGAGCTCGGAAGCCCGGACGCCCCGGGGCCGCAGCACCGAGGGGATGCGACCTCCATGGCGAAGATTCGAGATTCAATTGGATACAGGGTAATTGTACCTAGGTAGGTACTGTGGCGGAAGCTCTATCGTATTGTATGTACTAGCCACATTTACCCCATGGTACCTGACTTAACGTATCCACAGTAGACCCGTTTTATTGGTTGCGTTATCCTTGATGTAAACCATGAACTTTTTGAAGCTTTCGTGTCCCTTACACAGTACACGCAATCCCGGACCCATTATTTCGACAACGAAAGAGTAACTCAACAAGCAACCTTCAAACCTACCTAATTCACGCCTCTACCAACAGCAGTGCCAAACTCGATATAACCACCATGGCGCCCAAAAAGTCTGCTACTGCTACCACTCCTGCGCCCGTACCCGCGACCGCGCCAATCGCACCAACAGCACCTACGACAGCTCCCAGCGTCGCCGTAGCCAAGACTAGCGCTAGCGGTCCTCAGTCGATCAACCAGATAGCATGGAATATAGTCGAGCACTACCAGAAGACAACACCCCAACGCACCAAGCTGCTTGACGTCTTCATGGCATTCCTAGTCGTCGTTGGTGGTTTACAATTTGCGTACTGCGTCTTGGCGGGCAATTACGTATGTACTTACTTACTTCACTATGCTATGCTCTTGGAGAGCCGTCCGGGCGTAATGCGCTTCGCTTGCTAACTAGTATGCTTGATGTTGATGTTTTATAGCCATTCAACGCTTTCCTCTCGGGTTTCTCGGCAACAGTTGGCCAATTCGTCCTTACCGGTACGTTTTTCTGCAACGAATTAGACGGGAGAGGGCATGGTGGATTGATTAGGGGTGGGGTGCTAACGATGGGAATAGCGTCATTACGTATACAGACTACAGAAGCGAACAAATCCGAGTTCCCTTCTATATCTCCAGAAAGGTATGGATCCCTAGGTACCCAGCTCTACTTTCAGACCGACGAGGCTAATATGTCCGTATAGGGCGTTTGCAGATTACGTCGTCGGTAGCCTAATCCTACATTTTTTCTGCGTCAACTTCATAAACTAAGCAGGACGGCCCGCGAGAGGTATATTCAAGGCAGTAAGGAAGCCCAATGGCTGCTGGATTCAAGCTATAGGGCGGAAAATCTCCGTATGAAGAGAAACATTGCGGTCACGACCATGTATAGCGAGCAAATGAATAAACCATGCTTCTTCGAGTTTCTTGCTGTATTATATCTCCATTCAAATCGTGATACTACGTCTAGTCCACATCGTCATCACCGCCGTCAGCTTTCGGCTCCTCGGCCTTTGGCGGTGCTCTCGGGGGACCACCACCGGCTTTAGGAGGGGGCGGCGGTGGTGTCTTGCTTGTAGAAATGTTTCGATCCAGCTCCCTGCTCTTCTTCTCCTCTTCCGCAAAATAATCGTCCATCAACCTCTTGGGAGCATTGGTATGCCTCTCTTTTTTCTTACTGCGCGGCGGCGCACTGCCTGCTGGTGGAGGGGTACTGCTAACTAGTTGCGCGGGGACAAGGAAATCCGGCGATGCTGCCGGGACGAACGTAGTAGCTGCTGTATCGCTTGGCGGAGCTAATGTCGTGAATTGGTCTACGCCGGCACCAACGTTGGCGCCTGCACCACCGCTGCTATCGCCATCGAACATAGTCTCGCCCGGCGCATTGACAGGCTCGCTCAACGGCGCAGGAAGACGATGCAGCGCGCCGTATCCCAGAACGCAGCCCAGGGCGCCCTCGCCACCCCACTCGCGGCTCGGCACGATCTCGAGCTCGCGCGTGACATTGTACTCGTTATTATACACCCACAGCCTCAGCGGGCGGCCCACGTAGTCGTCTACCAGCTCGCCCAGCCCGCCCTCTCCGTGCAGCACGCCGTCCGGCGTACCTAGTATGTAATCGCTGTACGGCAGCAGGCCGGCGTGGTCGGCGGGCGAGTTCGAGGCTACGTCTAGCACGTGCCAGACGTTGGAGGCGACGTCGAGCGGCGTCCATTGCAGCGATAGGCCGAGCGATCGGGTGTCGGCTGGGACGGGGACGTGTAGGACTCGCGTGCGCTGGCCCTTGGCGCTCCAGAGGCCGAGGGCGACGGTGCTGCCGGCGCAGTTGCGGATTTCTTGGGCGAAGAGTCGGGGGTCGGGGTTATCCTGTTTTGCGACTCGGTGTTAGTTAGTGGTCTGGCACTTTTCTTCATTCTTGGTTGGTTTGTTTCGTTTGTTCGTTCTTGCTAGCTACTAGGTAGAGAGGGTCGGGGGATCGAACAATTACACGGCCGTTGATCCCAACGATAAAGTCGAACCATGGCTCGATGCCTAGCTCGAGGTTCGTGTTGCGCAGCACTTGGAAGCCGTATCCGTGGCCGTCTTTCTGCTGCGGCCGCGCGTCGCCGTCGAGGCGCGAGAGGTAACGGTTTAAGGCGTTGAACATGGTATATGTGTGTCGCTATGGGCTCATGTGTAAGGTAGTAAGTAGTATAATAATAATCTAAGTTAAAAAGAAGTTAAAAAGAAGTCTATTGTTTGGTTATCTAACCTACAAGGTTCGGATGTTGGTATGCGCCTGCTTAGTTTACATGAAAGTCATAGCCTATCAAGAAAGCTGTCATTTCTTAGCTCACTATTAGCCTTACGCCGGCTATGCGCTAAATGCCAGTAGTGGTCAAAGCTTCTGTTATTAGGTATAGCTAAAGTGGGTCTAGTTACTGTATTTACAATTGTTGTTAATCTCTTTCACTTCAACCTATCTTCAACTTAATGAATCTACGAATACACCAATTTTGTTAATTCAGAATCTTGTATAATCTGGTTTGGTTTTTTCCACAGATTATACGCTAAGGATTCATAAACAGCAGACTTAATTCCTCACCTTCAAGATTTGTATTTTTTTAAGGCTGGTACTAATCAGGCAGCTCATGCATGCTGATCCAGCACTTTCAGGATGAAACGAGTGAAGAAGCTCCCCCTGACTGACGACTGTCACCATTGGACTCGTCTAGGTGAAGTACCTTGGGACTTACAAAAGTGAGTTCTTGAAGTAGAGTACTTGCTACTTGTATAGATGGTTTACTTACGCGGTCGAAAACTATAGGTACTGGCAGCAAAGATACACAATTTTCCCTTACTACGATGAGGGTATCTACATGACTCAAGATGCCTGGTTTGGCGTGACCCCTGAACCAGTTGCCAAGTAAGTTTCGTATTTCGATTCCCATTCGGATCCTATTCCGTATCATCCCAGTCTCGATACGATCTGACACTATTCTTATTCTAGCCAGATTGCGCGAGAGATGAGTTCTATTATTAGCGAGTCAAAGACCACAATCATAGATGCATTTGCTGGCGTAGGGGCAAATTCTATTGCTCATGCCTTGGCCACAGCTGAAGACGGCTCAACGCCTCGCTGGGATAAAGTGATCGCCATTGAGCTAGATGCAGCCACTCTTGCCTGTGCGCAGCATAACGCCTCCTTGTATGGTGTGGCTGACCATATCATCTGGGTCTTGGGCGACAGCTTTAAGTATCTAGATGCTTTGGTGAACTCGCCAGACAAGCTAGAGGATGACCTACGAGTAGATGTGGCATCTACAGCTGTGTTCGCATCACCGCCTTGGGGTGGGCCAGGGTACAGGACCGACGAAATATTCGATCTGAATACCATGGAGCCTTATAACTTAGCCCAATTACATGGCGCTTACAGAACTATGGATCATGCCCTTTACCTACCACGCACAAGCGATCTAAGGCAAATCGCCAAGCTAATTCCCGATGGGACTAAGATCGAAGTTGTGCAGTATTGCGTTGAGGGTGCAAGCAAGGCAATGGTAACCTACATACCCGCCGCCAAAGACGAAGACAGTCATATGGAAACATAACCTTCCAATTTGGCTAACGACCACTCTTACCGGCTTTATAACTAAGCCGAATTGTTCAGTTCAGTCAATAACCATGCCCGTACGTAATGAGGTCGGTTCCGCAAATTATTATTATTATTATTTTAATCGATGCTTCATACGATACGAGTTGTACTATTCCACGGAGTCTGGCTCCCCCCCGTTGACCCTATTGGCTCCATTGTGCTGCGGCGACTAGCCTCACTATACTGGCTCATACTATACTGGCTCGCCCTAATTTGGCTCCGCCTATATTGACTCTCTCTGTTTTGAACATCCAAATGTTGGTTCTCCACAGGGTGGCTGTCCGTGAGTTGGCTCTGCCTATACAAGCTCTCTGTATATGGGCTTCCCATCAACTGGCTTATCCTTTGCTGCTCCGCCATCGCGCTTGTACTTCTACTCCCTCGTCTCTTTTCTATTCCGTCCCGTAAGAATGTTACGGGATGTGCAGCACACAACCCAACAACAGCTTCCGCAACAAGAAGACTGTCTAAGCCCGCGAAAAGGGCCTGGTTCTTCGCAGTATAACTCTCCAATCCGTTAGCTAGTACTATCGCCTGATAGAGTGCTCTCGCAAATAGGCACATGGCGGAAACTAGCAGCATCGCAAGGAAGAATTTAAATCTATGTGCCATGGGGACGAAACCATGAACCGGATGGAACGTCGTGTATCCAAATTGGCTATTTGCTATGGCGGCTCGAAATAGGACGATGCCGAAAAGCATTATATAGATGATTAAGGAAATGGCTTGTATGACCATGCCAGTGGCGATAATGGGACTGCCGACACGGGCATTATGACCAAGGCCCGTGTCGGAGGAAAGATCTGAGAAGGAGATGATGAGTCCGATGAATTGGAAAATAAACCCAATCACGTCGATCAAAGTTAGGAGGGCATATCGCGAGACGTTAATTGGCGAGTGTTCCGTGCCCAAGATTTTAATTGCTTCGGGTATGGTTAAGTAAATGCTTTAAATAAGTCAGCATATGATTCAACAGCTGATAATTTCCGGTAAGAAAAGGATTCCACTGACGCTGCCGATATGAAGGCCGGCGGTATTATGATAAAGGTTGTCGACGCTGCGTATAAAGACACGTTCCATGGATCAGCCGAACTTCCGATTCGCATAGCATAGCCGATACACTCGAGAAGACAACCTATAGAGATTGGAATACTAAATTCTAACCATCTATTCCTCTCGGCTAGGTAGAATGAGTAGACTAGACAGGCGATTAAGGATCCAAGGTGAATGACGAAGAAGATGGCTCCCGCTGCTGCACTTGGCGGGTAGCCATACGGGGACGCGGCGACTGGGCATGTGTCAAAGGTGCATGAAGCTATAGATCTCATCGTGAGAAGTGAGCTCGAATATCTATCAGCATCTCAACCCATAGAGCAAACAGCATTCGACAAGAAAGACGGAGCGTAAGGCGACGGAGAGAGAGGACAATAATAAGTAAAAGAGAAAACTCGTTACAATCTATTCGAGTACAGGATGAAGTTGGCGCGGTCGGAGTGGTTTCAATATTGCATATCTAGCTCCTCGAAAGACTACCTGACTACCTCTAGGTACATGATCACCTACCGAGATGCGAGGAGCTGGGTTTTAAGGCGATCTTTCTACCCAAAACACACTCGTTAAAGCTAAAGCTAGATCCTACTTTGTCTCAACATCCAAACCTAATACATTCCCACTAAGTCCGATACCACCCGCCGGTATCCATTTTCTTGACCAGCGGCTTGGTCGAGCTGGCCGAGGATCGCTCTAACAGGGGTCAAGGGGTGGCAGTGCTAATTATAAGTCTAAAGTTAGATGTGTGGTTACTGGAGTGCATCTACGAGCGTAACAGATCTAAGGCTGACAAGCCACTCGGGGCTGCTACCGAATAAACACCACCAATGATAGCTGCCTAGCTGTGCTTAGGGTTACATCTGTCTATTTCACTTGGTAACTCCGGATTATTCTGGGTTAATATTGGCCATCTTTAACGACGTGCGTCGGCCCCAATGTCGCCCGTACCTAATTCTTGAGCTTACAGTCTTCTGATCGAGAATAACGGACTGACGATGGCTATGCGGGAATTTCCTATTATTCATATACCTGCGTAACATGCGAGATTCCAATAGTTTTGAATCTAGATTTATGTACAGCCTCCCAATTCTATATATGTTGATTCTATATGTGTTTCTATATGTGTTGTTAGTTGATCCACCAAATCTATCGCATACAGTTTCTACACAAGACCAACTGCCTATCACAGTCATATGCTGATTCCTTTGCTACAGATTTTATGCCCGAACACGTAAAATTCAAGTAGCTGAAATTAAGGGACAGCCTACGACAAAAAGGGAATAATTATTAATTAAGCTACTGCGCCGTAGAGATCATCTTGGCAAGGCCAATGAATCAAATAGCCTTATCCAACTCTTTGCAGCCAACATCGAGATCCGCAGCGCTGCAGATATGCACCTCGATAGTATAATACAAAGGCTAAGACCTCTCGTGTCACAACTTGGTATCACGTACTCGCGCCTAACAACTTCTTTTCATCTCCCGTCGTCTATCGCGTCAAAACGTCGGGGGCTAAAAGGGGCGCAGTTCATATAATAGCCGTAGAATACAGCACATGTTACGCATATCTTAGGTAGGCGTAGTCGCAAGAGCGAAGTAGAATTAATTATCTTAAAAGCCCATCTAACATGCAGAAGGCCGAATTAATCTAGCCCGCGTCGAAACTCCCGTCGTTGCCTACGCGTCTAACGGCGAGGACAGCAGGTTCATATGAATGCGACCGCGGCAATCCGTCCGTATGTAGGTAGCTAACATATCTGCTCTAAATGAGACCGAGATAATCACTTGCTGGGCATAAGCGTCACTATTAGGGGAGCACGTGGTAATCTTGTTTCGAGCAGAAGCAGTCCCCCCTGTTATGAGGCGTCCGACCCCTGAGACACACCACACATGGCCAAAACTAGGTCTGGATCGCTTAGTAAATCGCTTTTCTTCGCCTCAGTGACACTTATTAAAGGCACAAGCACTCACCTCCATTACTGTTAATACTGCAGCTCTGAGTGGTATTATCAGCGCGCCTCTATTCTACTCTCGTCCCGATTCGGTCAATATGCCCCGAGCCTACTGCAATGTCGCTTGGGGGCTAATTTCGTAGTGGGATGGGATGTAATATGAGCTCGGGGCGGGAAAGAATATTGACAGGTAGATTGAATGGCGCGCTTGGAAGTGCTATGGTGGTAGGTATGATGAGAGATCTAGACCGTCGGCTATTGTCACTTTGCAGAAGGACGTCGAATAGGTATTAAAAATGGAAAAGGTAAATTGGGCCGCTCACTCGAACTAAGAAGTTCTTGTCGTGAAGACTGGTTAAATATACCTATGAGGGCTTAGTTTATGAAGACGGGGTAACATCAAGGACCAAGGTGTGGTTACACGGCTACATTGAATGCAGGGTTAAGCATTACAGATGTGAAAATATTCCTATAGCAGGTAGTATATAAAGACCTATATCGATCACTTCAACACCCTCAATTCTTCGTAAAACAGGCTGGATATAGTCAGCAAAGTGGTTACGACCGGAATATTAGCAAAGTTCCACGACAAGAAGTCCCTTTTAATGAAACATGTTTATAGATACATACACAACTCTTTAAAACTGGGCTTGATCCCGATTGGGGTTTCCATGAACGGTACGAGGTTCATAGTCTGAACGTAATACGAGCGGAGCAATTTCATCGTAATTTATGTCTTATTAAAGGTACTATACCTCGAAGACTTAATTCCCAATATCCGCAACTTGGTCTACGATGACATCCCTGTTACCCTGCTCCCAAGAAAGCTCGACGACCTGCTTGCTGACTCGCCAGGGATTCTCCCCTTTTTGCTCCAGCTCCGGAATCCGAATGATATCAAGGTCAAAACAGGCCTAATTATTGATATTATCGTTAGGTAGCCACTCCTAATTTGAAAAACTAAAGTGATTGCATAGGGGAAGTAGACTCACGCCGTCATGCATCATGGGCCCGCCTCTCGCTGCCTGGCGAACCATATGGGCGGTTGCGTTAGCGAAAACCCGGCACTTATCAGGCCTAGTAGCACCGTTGGAGGGCTGCGGGAGTTCTATGATGAGACCTCTATGATAATTAAATGAGCTTCTGTCCGATATCCTATAGAGAAATGAAATACGTGATTATTGAACGGGCAACTTACGTAACTATATGTTGGCACCTGTCGAAGCTGGCTGCCGCCGAAGTAATAATTTTGGCCCACTCCTCCTTAGTCGTCTCAAATGGTTGACCGCCAAACACGGAAGTGTAGTCTAGGGCGACTTGGGGAGCGTATACGTCTTTACTGAGGCCGTCCATCGACTTTCGGTCGCAGTTGAAAGTCTTGTTAAGAAATATAATATATTAATGACTTTGGCCACTTGAATTTCGGTTAAAGCCCAGTGGCGTCGGGTTTACTTACGAGCCGTGTCACTGTGTCGTGGATATTGGCCCGGTCGAGGAGGTACGTCTGGATGTCGTAGGGGGCGACCATTATTGCTGTTATCGTTAAGTGATATCTTTAGACTTGCAGTTTATATCTCAGCTCGACTTGAATGATTGATCTGGTGAGTTTAAAGGTGTCCTATAAGCGAACAGAACTTGATTTTATACGTTGATAATTTGATTCTAGTTGGAATCCTAAGTGATGATGATCGACCCATTGTATAGTTGTTAGCCGGCGTGATACACTCTAGCCTATCTACTCGTTACTATCGTGGGTTTCGGTCGGTATAACTGTTCGACCGTATTGCTTCTATACTCCTTGCTTCACGGGAATTGTGGCTTTGAGACCCCCTTAACCCCAGACCAGATCGTCCTACGTCGCTTAAACCCGATTAAACCCCGTACGCTATGAACTAAATGATCGGGTCCGGTATAACTCTAGATCGATTCAGTTGCGGAAATCAGTCATGATAATTAGATACTCGTTAGTACGGTCCTTTTAAGGACGAGAACATAATTCTGTTAGAGTATAAGGAACTATGAACCTGGTTTATACGAAACCCTTGGTATAGCTAGAGCTCTTTTCAGAATTACTGAAGCCAATTTAATGCAAAAGAAACAATATTCTTTTCATACGGACGACTGGGTTGTCTTGGATTATGTTATGGGTCAATGTCGCTAATCTCGCTGGTAAGTGTCTCCCCCTGAAGTAGTTCAAATGAGCTCTCAGTTCCCGACTTCTTTTGAGCCTGCGCCCGCTTCCATGAGTTGAACGTATTAATATGTACATCCCTTGGAGCATCCGTTCGAGATTTCAGGGGCATGATAATTGGTGCCACAATCGGCACGGAGACAGTAATGAGGATAAGATTGGCTTCCACACTAGATGATACAATATATTCATTAGTAAATACAAGAGGTTTCGGTCACTAGAATATTATTGACGAAGGAGGTGCGAATTACTTACGTCCACCAAATCGCTGGCTTTGCCATTGCAACTAACGTATTTCATTTAGTTAGCACCTATTTACTGTATACGATTCCCTGTAACGACTGGTATAACTCACATGTAAGATCCTGTGTTGATGTGAATGCTCTAAGATGCACTGTTTTAACAATGGAAGCCCACATAGCACTTTCAACGCGGAGCACTTGTTAGAGTCTAGATTTCCTGTTGACGGGGGTAAGTATACATACATGAGGCCTACTCCCATAATACCGCTTATGTATGCCTTCTGTTGCCATTTCATGTTTAATTTCCAGAGCATGGACACTGGAAACAATGCAAGGACTAAGTCTATGGCAGAACACACCGCTGTAAAGGATTAGTCTAGGAGTACTTGTTTAGGTGCTTTGACGAAACTACTTACTGCCTTGGAGAAAGCCCATGTATTGCTGAACATATGGAGGCCAGCAGTGACCATCGAGAGAAGTATCCCAGAACGCCTCGACAGGACGACACTGAACATAGCTGATGATTACAGTTACCACATCAAATACGAATTGGATGCCGATAACAGTCCATAGAAACCTACGGGGTCGTTTAGATGGCGGTGTGATGCTCAGAAGCAGGATAGCATACGATATACGACAGAATCCAGCACTCATAATGGCGAAACCCTCACTTAGGAACACCCATTTTATGATATACTGAATACGTTGACGATCGTGTATAATAGTATCGATATGTTGCCCTAAGCCCCAGGCTGCCGAGATAGTTAAGAATATGTTGTTTGCTATACTTAATAGCTACGACGAGGTGACTTGTTAGATTGCGAAGCTAGAAACGAGGAATTGAAGTACTTACATAGGTAATGACAACAATATAATCATCAGCCGTAAACTTTCTACCAGGGCGGAGACAAGGGCGCACGCATAGCCGGAAGACAACTACTGCAGTAGAAAATACGAATAATATCCATATTATTGCGATTATGTTGGTACCTAAACGTGTTGATGGGTTACTCGTCGTCGTAGCCATGTTTGGATATCTGTATTCTGGAGTGTATTAGGTACCTAACGTAAGAGAATATGTCAACGTTTAAAGAATAAAGACGGGAAACAAGGCTAAAACAATTGTAAGCTTGCTTCCCGTGAGTGATACTTATATTGCTAATATGCCAGGTACGTCTAACGAGTAGTCGAACTAGACAATGCCTCATAAACAATGAGAGGCTCGCTTTTACCCCTGATATTACCTAGAATAGCTACAAGATGGGCGGTTATCCCGATATACAAAAGAAAGAAGCGTACCTACAGGTGAATACCTACCTACGTAAAGTAACCCATGGCAGGTACTCAATGCATTATACAGCTTAGAAAGCCGGACAAAGCCATATGATTATGACAAACTAGATATATACCTAGATACCTGAGGTCCACGTGTAGATTAATTGCCACCCTTGCCTGGATCGGCGTGCCCGGTGAGCGCGCAGTCTCAGCCGCCGTCAAGTACCATTGGTTTATAAGAAATGGAGTAAAAAGGCGCATCCAAAACTGGGAATGTGCATGTCTGGCTTGCTCTTGGAGTTAGTTGTCAGTGCTGACTACCTACGAACGTAAGGTATCTAGATACCTAGGAGGTAGGTATGGAGGAAAGTCTATAAGTAGAGGCTCTACCCGCCAGTTTTCCAGCATCTTCTAACTCACCATCCTCAAGCCTTTTGTACTTTAACCACAAAATTACCTACCTACCTACTTTCTCAGCATGAAGATGACCGGAAATCCCGTCGAGTCAGGCAATATTGCCGCCATTATCAAACAGCTCGGTGGCCTCAGCTCAAAACTTGAGCTGGCTAATGACCAATCACCAGAGTCGAAGCTCTACGTTTAAGTAGAGAACTCACTACGAGTCTAGAGCGGCCTCAAGATGTTGCCGGCGAATTAATCTTTTCTGTAATTTACCTAGTCAACTTTATTTTTGCTTCCCGTCGTCGTACCTAATACTCATGCTAACAAGTTAAACCCAGTCTTTTATTCCGATTGCTTCCAGGATCGTTGTCGACTTGAACCTCTTGGAGTATATTGTGAATCATGACAAAGCAATCACGTCTGAAGAGCTCGCGTCGCTCTCTGGTGGAGAAGCGCTACTTATTAGTACGATCTATTCAACACCAGAGACATAGACTGCTATTGCTAACGATTCCAGCTCGACTACTCCGGGCTTTGGCTTCAGTGAACTTTTTGAATCAAGTTGGTGAAGAAGTATGGCAAGCTACCCCAGTCACAAAGGCGATGGCCAGTGAAGGGATCTCTGCTGGGATTCGAGTGATGTGAGCTTCTTGTCCCTCAAGCATTTTTACTTCGGGGCACTCCTTGCTGAGGTTTTACAAGCGGTGAGATGGTAGCGGGGGCAGCCAGCAAGGCACCGAAATACCTCAAAGAAGCTGGTTATAGTTGTCCAACGGACCCCCATGACGGATTCATGCAATATGCCCTTCAAACGAAATTAACATCCTACCAACTTTTCAACTCGATCCCTCGAGTTCAGAAGGACTTTAATAATTTCATGGGAAATACATTGGGAGCAAGGAAGATGTGGCTCGACTGGTACCCAATCGAAGAGTTGCTCAATGGCGCAGTACCAGATTCGGCCTTACTCGTAGACGTTGGCGGTGGTAAGGGCCATGACCTTGTCGCCTTCCACAAGAAGTACCCTAATAAGGGTCGACTGGTACTTCAGGACTTTGCCATCGACACAATTGGAGACCTTGATCCTGCGATCGAGCCAATGTACTACGACTTTTTCGCTGAACAACCCGTCAAAGGTGTGCTTATTTTTATTTCACCCCCTTCCCCTATACCTCATCTTTTTGACGCCCGCTTATGTTTTAATACACTAGGTGCAAGGGCATACTACTATCATCACATATTACATGACTGGTCTGATTACAAATGCTTGGAAATATTGAAGCATGTAAGAGACGCCATGAAGCCAGGGTATTCGAAACTATTCCTACATGAAATGATCATACCAGAAACTGGAGCCTCCCCAATCTACGCCATGCTTGACATAACGATGATGTGTTTCAACGCAGGTATGGAGCGCACCGAGCGACAGTGGCGCGCAGTGTTGGAGACAGCTGGCTTCGAAGTTGTGAAAGTCTGGCCAGGCCCGGAAGTGGGTAGCGATGGTATGGTAGAAGCAATGGTCAAAGAATGAAATTTATGTCATGAGCTACGGGGCCATCTAGACCAAATAGTTATTTACACCAGTAGTCTATCTAGTCTCAGGTAAATTCATATCTCTTGATATTCCAACAGAATTTATTTCTACGTATTGCTCGCATCCTCATTTGCATATATCAAAGGACAAACAGAACAGAAAAGGAACCCGTTCAGGTGTAATGAATGAAAAGGGAAGTGACTAATTAAAAAAAATATAAAAAATATAAAAAGTGCAAAAAAAGATCGGAACCCTGAATTCGAACCACTGTCGATTGACCCGAACAGTTGGTCTGCCTGCCGCCTCGACAGTGGCTCGAACCAAGGTCCTACGAAAAACTCCTCGAGGAATTATTTCTGACCCTACTTCAACAGCTGCTTGATCACGACCAATTTGACTACACAGTCATTGATCAGGGGTGAAGGAGTGTGTTGCTAACGCATTACTTATGTCTGTCGGCGCTGCCTGGCAACCAGGTGGCGGGGTTGTCCTACAACTTGCTTGTAGTTAACCCAGTACACTTTGAAAATATTTTGGGATAAGGCGTGCTATGGGATGTATTATTTGTTTCTTAATAAATCCCATAATGCGGGCACCCCTGAAACTTCTGTCGAGAGGTATACGGTAAGGTAGGATAAACAGGTACGACAGGGAATCCTACCTTATCTAGATACCAACAAGGACAACGCGAATGAAACAAAATACTAGACGCGGTATGAACATTATATATTACTGATACCAACAGGATATAACGGCGGTTTATCTATACTGTCAACTCCACGCTTTTCCTTCTCTTTCCCTTCCAGTTCCTGGTCCAGCCCCTTTACTCTGAACCAAGCCAAGCCTATCCGTGTTCTTCCGGAGCATAAGTAAGCATACAAGTAGACATACTTATAGTACAAAAAAGCATGCAGCTTTTTCAGACGCCCGGCCGAGTAAAGTCGTCGCCCGGCGGCCAATTCCCAAGCTTACCCGGGTCGCCTCCAATACGAACATAGGTGCCGACGGCCGGTATCTTGTCTTGCAAGACATACATCTGATACCACCCAGCGGGAGCGATGTGAACCCTCGGGGGTGCGACGACGGTACACGTAGTGCCGTCGCACGAGACCTCCGGAAACAAGGTCCGCGCTCCCATCGAGTTGCCATGCGTGCTAGATACCGCGCCGAGCAGCGAGACTTGGATCTCTCCCTCGGGTTCCGAGCCCAGCTCGAAGGCGACCTCCTCGTTGTAGTCCCAATCTTTGTTCGTGACGGTGAATGACGGGCGTGGTTTACTGCTGTAGAGGTATGGGGGTGTGAAGACTTCGACGCGCATCTCTTGGGGATGCTTGCCGTCCTCGGGGTCGGAGCCCGTAATTAGGACGCGGCCGTCGAGAAGAGTAATGGCTTCGCTGTGGTAGAGACGTGCGACGGTTGTGTTGGCCATGACGGACATACGGGAGCCGATAGGCTTAAATGGATCGTAGAGGATAGCGTTGTAGTTGGGATCATCCGCAAGACCGAAACCGGCAACGCCTTCGTGGGCGCCGTTGGCAATAAGATAGGTTCCATCTGGCAAGGGCGCCATGCAACTCATGACACGCTTGGAAGGCATACGCTCAAGAGTCCACTCGGGGTTGGGCGCTTCGGGGTACGTGGACACGCAGTTGTCGAGAGCAGAATGGCCATCAGTCGAACCGCCGCATAGGAGGATACCAAGAGGATCCGTATAAGGGGCAAACTGGGGCAAGAGAACAGTAGCTCCCTCAAGAGGATATGTACGACCTCCGAGGTCATCGTTGACAGCACCAGGCATGTTTGGTAGAGTCTGTATCGTGTCAAAGGTAACTTCGTCCAGGATCCTGGCTTCGTTCCAGTACGCAACGAAAATGCCGCCGCCGGGAAGGACTGCCAAAAACGGATATAGATTGTTCGGATCTGTACGCTCAAGCCAGTCCATGTTGAGATAGGGACCAACTTTAGGAAGGATCTCAAGAGAAGGTTCGGGCTTGTCGTTTGAACCAATCTCACCACCCACGACTAAAATGGACCCGTTCGCCATAAGCATAGCGCTTGGGTACCATCGTCCTCTCTGAAGCTTTAGAGTATTGACGTCTTCTTCCCAGTCATTTGTGCCCTTTACGCCGTCCGACCCATCAGGCGCGTATAGACGGACGCCGTACGTCGAGTCGAGGGACCAGCCACCGATAGTAAGCTGTCGTCCTGCCTTATCGGGCAGAATAACTCCCGCCGAGCAGAAGATATCAGTCTTAACGTGCATGGTCCTCCAGGCAGCATCGAAATCGTCGAGGCAACTGAGGTCTAGTTCATAGGCCCCCGTGCTATTTGCTGCGCCGGTTCCCCATTTCTCCAGGAAAGTAACCTTGCCGGTGATCGATTGCATGGTCATCAAAGGGGTAACAACACCGCCGACCAAATTGGAGTAGGAACCTGCATCATTTCCTTCGGGGTAATTAAACACGTAAAGGGGCGTTTCACCGGTCCAATAGTACATTGAAAGCCGAGCACCGCCTCCGCATATCGTAGAAGCATTTCCGGCACATGCGATATTGCATTCGCTCTCAGGCTTTATAGTGGCACCGGACGCATCAACATCCATTGGGTCACCACAATAACATTCTTGGCCATACTCCAAACCGCCAGCGGCATAACCAAAAGAAGCGCATTTCCCTAGACATTGCTCAGGGGTCATAGGGGTGAGGAACGTTAAGGACCAAAAAAGGGTCCTCTGATTATTAACATTGTCCTCATAACAGCCTTGATACGTCCAAGTACCGTTCACTTCTTGTAGCGGAGCAGGCTCTTTGAACGTCTGTGGTGTACCCTTCGAGTAGATAGACAAGTATCCGGCACCTCCGCACATGACTTGACTATTACCTCCACAAGGCGTCGAGCATTTCGAAGTGTCTTCGCCTCGGACGCCACCGTTGTAGATAGCATTGCTACAGAAGCACTGCGTATAGTACTCGGTACCCGATACTGTATAGTTGTTATCAGCACAGAGTTGCGCACATTTCTGTGGTGTCAACTGAGAGTCGTCGGGAGCTTGGAAAGTTGGCATGATACGACCATTGGGCCCATCTTGCCAGCAGCCCTGGTCGGTCCAGCCATCAGGAAACCCCGTAGGTTCTGGTGTCCCAGGATCACTACTAGTCGGACCCGAACTAACAGTACTTGTCGCGACCGAAGTTCCGTTTTTTATATATACAGAGAGGCGATTGCCACTGCCGCAATATGCCCATTGGTCTCCAGCACAGAGCATATTGCAGTCGCTCTCAGGGGCTTCAACGGAACCTGCTTCGAATTTGTTGCCACAGTAGCATTCGCGGGCATACTCAACACCAAAGTACGTTGTCCCCTTGCCGCTGCAGAAAGTCTGGCAGCTACCTAATGTCATAGCATCATCGGCGTAGGTATACAGGCTCAGTGCACGGATGTTAGTAGCTTCGGTCTGGCAGCCATACCAAATGTAATCACCTATGACGGAGGGCTGCGAAGGCGCCGTAGGACTTGAGCTTGCGGATGAAACGCTACTTGTGCTAGTAGCAACTGGCTCAGTAGTAGCATCTCTTGGGACAATTGAACGAGCAACTATCGACAAGGTCGTCGCTTTTAAGAGAGTGCCAGAGAGCGTCTCAGGGGCAGCCCTGGAGCTGGCCCTGGTGGATCCGCTAGGCGTCCTCTTAAAGTTATATACATTCAAGCGGTCGAGTCCACCGCATACCTCGGAATCATTTGCCTATGGTAGGCGATGTTAGTAATAACACCCAGCAGATGCGATTTGTGCTCTATAGTGCCACCCTTGGAAGCTTATTATTTATGGATGATTGGAATCAAATAGCCCGTTTGTGTAATAGAAGAGAAGGGATATAGAAACACGCCTGAAGGATCATACCTTACAAGCCGTATCACATCCATCGGATAATACGGCGCCATTCGCAGTAGTATTGCCGCAATCTATTACTGGTTAGTTGGCACCACCCTAGTTGAAGAAGTCAAACAGTGGCTTACAGCATTCATCGCCATTCTTGGTACCGGCAAAGGTGTAACCAGCTGCAAGACATACAGACGTACAGCTCTCTGCGTCGACCGGCATGGTAGAGATGGGTGCTTTATACGTCAAGCACCGGCCGTCGATTCCCTCGCTTGTGGAACATGTTAACTACAACTTGAAGCAACTTGAGGCTGGGGCCTAGTTGGACCACACCTGTACTAGTGGCAAAAGATAGAGACTCACGAGTAGCAGCCGATATGCACCCAGTCTGGGATGTCGATATTTGGCCTGGGGCCTGCGCTATACGGGTTGAAGAATAAGGTCAACCAATTTGAACCTTCGCATGCCTCTGCATCGTCGCCCGAGCAACCTGATGAGCATTTTCTCGAATCTCTAACTTCTAAGGCCCCACTAGCTAATTCATTCCCGCAATCTAGCCATGGTTAATACAAACAGGATCATGCTTAGGTGGGGAGTGAACTCACAGCACTCGTTATGGTGTTTAGCTTCAGCGTAAGCAAACCCCCTACTATCGCAGAACTCGACACAGTTCTCCGGAGTCTTAGTATCCGAAGTGGTTGCAGCCACGTTGATGATCCGACCAGCGTCGCTTAGAGTCACTTAGCATCGACGTTCATAGTATTAGGGACAAGTTACTTACACATAACACCCCTTGTGGTGCCATTTTCCGTTGAGTTGATTAACTCTTAGGACTGTTTGCTGTGCTATAGAAAAAGATGTTAATGTTAAGGATATAGTAAAGAAAAACGACGACAAAGCCTGAATAGCCCGCATGATGGTAAGCTTCCTAAGAAGCCCAAGAACCTATCCACAAACTTCGGTGGTATAAGTATAAGGCTGTGGGAATAGAAATTGCATAGGACGCCCGAGAAATTGTTCACGAAGAACTGTAAGGGTATATATAGTCTTAATCTTACCATAATACAAGATGCTATTATACTTTCCCCGTGATCATGGAATCGGCTAGACCTCGTTGTAA